GGATCCAGGAACAACTTAATTTGTCCTGAGGAACACATATTGCATTTTTATGCTACGAGATGCTACTATTAAGGTTATGATATAAAGAACTGGGAACACTTCTCAGAGTAACCTGTTAAATGTACCACACAATTCCCTAACTCACTTCAGCACCCAGATCTCTGAGAAGCTAAAATACATCCAAATGCAGGTGTAGTTGCTGCTGTCCTTTTCCCTTCCAGCTATGCAACTCTACCCCACCTAGTGATAATACCAGTATTTATTTGAATTTCTTAGAAATTCAGCTCAGGTGGCAAAAAACTCATTTTTTCTCTGCCTGCATATGGAGACCAGGGGAGTTGTTTCTTCTCTTCATGGTGAATCCCTTCCCTCTCAGGTCAGAGAAGCAGCAGTGACAGGGCAGGACTGCTCAGATCACGGCAGCCACCTGGCAGGCTGCTGTCGAGTTGCCCAACTGGTTTTTGAGCTTTCTCACACACAGTAACATCAACATTGAGGAAAAACATTTTTGTGTCTTTTTTTTTTGTGTGTGTGTCTTTTTTTTTTTTGTGTGTGTGTGTCTTTTTTTTTCCTTCTGCTTATCACAGAAGGAAGATCGAAACCAGTGTGTGTCACTGGGAAACAGATTAAATAATTTTTTTCATGGCTGCTGTTTGTGTTAGAAATTCGGATCTTTGTTATCCTACTGTTTTGGAGACATCTCTAGTAGCATGACAGAGAGAGCAAGCAGGATTATGATGTGAAAAGAAAAATAAAAGTAATATCTTCTAGGAGGAGAAGCAAATATATACAAACTGATTTTACATTTTTAATGGTTTTGATTGTTTTCTATTTAGCTTGTATCTCCTAGAAGAATTGTACAGTAGACACTGCTTAGCGTACAAAGATATGCATTCCTGCAAAAAATACCCCAACCAACATGCTCATTTTGAATGAGTAGGAGAAGAACATGAGAAAGAAAAAAATCAGGCTCTATTTGTACAAGAAAGTATTGAGTGTCTATTACAACATTTCTTTTTCTTCTCCAAATTGGGAGGAGCTGTTTCTAGGAGATAACGCCACATTCATGTTTACTCTGGTTAAATAGAAATGCAGTGGTTCTTTCAAAACTCAGAGCTGGCAGCAGCACAGTAATTGCACGTGGTCCTTGGAGAGTTTGGTAATTATTTTTCACAGAATCACAGAATTCTTAGGGTGGGAAGGGACCTGTGGAGATCATCCAGTCCAACCCCCCTGCCAAGGCGGGGTCACCTGGAGTGGGTTACACAGAAACATATCCAGGTGGGTTTGGAATGTCTCCACAGAGGGTGAATCCATGACCTCCCTGGGCAACCTGGTCCAGCGTTCTGCCACCCTCCATGGAAAGAAGTTCTTCCTCATGTTGAGGTTGAACTTTTTGTGTTTTAGTTTATGGTCATTACTCCTTGTCCTGTTGGCATCACTGAAATCAGTCTGGCACCACCCTCTTGACACCCACCTTTGAGAAATTTTCATTCATTGATGAGATCCACTCTGTCTTCTCTTCCACAATTTGATTTTTCCGTAATTTGATAAGAAAAATGTCTTGGATCACCACTATGCAAGGATAAGTGTTCTGAGGAAAACTTATGATGGAAGGGGATGCGAATGATGAGCTACTCCAGTGCTGAACTGAAGCTAAGGAACAATTTGAGCCATGAGTATTCTTGATAACCTTGATGTATAAAAAAGCCCGTGAAATGAAAGCAATTCTTTTCCCCATCTCTGCCGCCTACCTTCCCCTCAGCTTCTTGGAATATAAGCAAAATTAGTTACCGCAGGGAGATGAGCCAAGGTGGCACCGACCAGCACCAGCGCTGTAAGAAGACTCCGTTTAAACAGGTCTGCGTAAAATCTTCACCTGTAAGGTCGGGAAGTACCGTCGCCACTGCCTGGCCGTCGCACAGTTTGGAATTATGGAAAAGAACCACGAATTCCCCCTTTTTTCATCTGGGGTTTGTGGTCCGGCTGCCGCGGTCCAACGCTCGCCATGTACGGGCAGCTCTCGCAGCCACGGGCAAAGGGGCTGCCGCAGTGCCCGGCAGGAACCCGGAGCACCGGGAAAAGCGGGACGGGCGGCACGCCCGGGATCTGTCCCGATGAGGGGCGGGCGGCAGCACCGGAGCGTTCCTGTAAAATGAAGAGGACGCTGCAATCACGGCGGCTCGTTGGTCTAGGGGTATGATTCTCGCTTAGGGTGCGAGAGGTCCCGGGTTCAAATCCCGGACGAGCCCGTGTTTTTTTTTTTCCCTTCTTTTTTTAGCTCCTTTCTCCGCCCAGCGATGCGACCCCGCGTTCTCCCCTGCGCTCCTCGGGCGGCCGCAGCAGCGAAGGGACAAGGAGACCCACCCGCTCCGTTTTAGCGCAAAGAAAAGCGTTAACAACTCGCCAGGGAGAGGCCACTCCTCTTCGCCTCGCACCGGGCGCCGCTACCCCCAATTTTCCCCGCCTTCCTCCTCACCTTTCTCGCCTCGCACGCCCCAGAGGTCGCTCCTCGCCCTTCCACCGGCCCCGGCCCCGCTCCCGCGCCTTCCCCGCGCTGCGGGCGGGCCGGAGGCGCAAAAGCGCTCCAGGAGGGAACCGCGGCGGCAAAATAGGAAGCGCGGAGCGCCCCCTTCCCGGCGGGCTCGTCCGGGATTTGAACCCGGGACCTCTCGCACCCGAAGCGAGAATCATACCCCTAGACCAACGAGCCGCTCTGCCAGAGCTTTCCCGCCTCAGCAGTTCACTGCCTTCCCGCCTCCTTCCCGCCCCAGCCACCCTCATCAGCGCCTTTGTGGGTCTGTCGTTCCCCGCCACCACCGCACCCGCGGTGGCTTTGCCCGCCGCTCCGGAGCACATCGCTCCTCTCCATAACTGATCCCATTTCCCCCTTCCCTCCCTCTCCAGGGTAACCCGTGGCATCGCCCTTCCCTCGACCCTTCGACTCCGCTTGGCAGCGGTGACTCCGAGTCCCGCGGGGGGTGCGGCGGCCCCCGCGCCGCCCCGCTCTCTTCCCTTGCGCGGACCCCGCTCCCGCGCTCGTCCCGGGAGCGCAGGAGCGAACCCTCCCCGCCTTCCCATTCCCATTCCTACTCCGCTGCCGGTGGCGCTCGAAGCCGGGCGAGCTCATTCCCAGGGGATGGGAAAGGGGGGGAATAGGACACACACCCTCAGCGGCGTTGGTTTATCCCGGCCCGCGCTGTGCGCGGCGCCCCCTGGCGGGGCGGGGCGGGGCGGGCGGTGCCACTGGGACGGGCAGGGACACGCAGGGACACCCGGAGACCACCGGAGACCCCCAGGGTGACCCGTGGGCGGGAGAGGGGCTCACGGGAGCCTTTGGTCTCTGAGCCCTCGGCACGCCGCTCGTTTGGATCCCGCGTTGCCTCTGATGTGCTCTATCCTGCCAATGCTTCCCCCTCGTATTTCCGTGCCTCTGCATCCCAGATCTTTCAAGAAACCCCGTTCCTCCCCTCACTGATTGCTCTCAGGCTTGGCCTTTCCGATACTTTCCCATGGCTCACACTACATTGAACCCGGCCCAACCAAAAACAACCACAGAACCAAGATCACACACGAACACTCTCTCCTTGCCCTTGTGCTGCATTCCTCTCTCCACTTCTTTCTTGCTCAGTCTTCTGTCCTCACCCCCACAATATAAAGGTCTTCTGGCCCACAACGTTTAGGCTTTAACTTTTTTTTATTCTTTCAGGCACCATCCATACCAGAGGGATTGCATAAATTAAATCTTGCTGAGGGCAAGACCAGGTGTGTTTACAGCCAGCAGGGACAAAGATGGTGATGCAACTTCTGGCCCGGAAAGTCTCTAAATTGTTAACTGCCAAAAGCTGGGAAATCTCGATGGAAAAATCACTGTGTGTTGCCTTGTTTATTTATGCTTCCCAAGGATGCTGGTGGAGAAATGGCAGCAGGCTAGATGGCTTTGCTTTCTCCTGTTCCCAGGTGCCAGACACCTGCAGGGTTAGGGCAGGAAGTGTGGCAGTCTCCAGTGTCACTGCCTGCCCCAAGGAACACATTCCTTTGTGATTGAGCATGTTGGTTATTGCTGTCTCCCAAAAATAAAAACCACAACATATTAAAACGTTAAACTGTTTTCTAATGGCAGTGGAAATCCCACCCCTATTTTGCCTGCTGCTACCAGCTCTCTCCATCCTTCCTCAGACTTCTTCATCTTTCCAGGAGGAAACAAAACACACAGATTTTTTGTTTTGCTTTGCTTTTATTCCACCATTTATTTCTTCTGTTTCTCCCTCAGATTTCCATTCCCGTGCTGGGGCCACACATACACATTCTTTAAACAGACACACATATGTCTGTATATACAGTAAGGCACAGTCACTCACATACAGATGGGACACTCTGCTGGGAGAAGAAACGGGGCACAGTGAATGATTGCAGCCTGCCCTGGAATACAAGCTATAACAAACAGATTACAATGGATTCAAAGGCAACAATGCTCCACGGCATGGCTCAAAAGGATGTGGAGGTTTTGTTTGCCAACAAGCTCACGTCACACAGGAGGGTCAGAGCTGCTGGCTCTCAGCAAATGTCACCTCAGAGCTCTCACCTGGGAAAAAGAAAGGCAGGGCACAGAGCCTCTCCTTTCCTCACGATTTTAGAGCTGGTGAACACAAAGGGGGTATCTCACAGACCCCTCAGGTTTGTAACTCTGCTGTGTTGCTGAGCCCGCCTGAGGGCAGGAGGGAGCTGTGCTGTGTGAAACACTTGTGCGTGTCCAGAGAGACAGGGACAACCCAAGCCTCTGACCCTGCTCAGCTTAATGTTTGCTAGGAGGAGCTTTGGGATGGCTGGTTCTTCCCTCGGTCTCTGCAGCTGTTTCTGTGTTGCTGGGTACTCAGGTGGGGTTCAAGCACTGGCCCCTGACCATTCACACCACCCAACAACTGGCTGACACCTCAGCTCAGCTTTTGGCAAGTCTGTCTCGCTGTCTCCAGTGAGCCCAGAGTTGTCCTCAGCTCCATGACGTGCTGTGGACATGACCCCCGTGGTCTTGAGCCAAGGCAGCTTTTTATTCAGCTTCAAGCACCACTGTCAGGAAACTGGTCAAGTGAGGGTCTGTTATCTATCTTTCCCCAAATAACTTATTTCTTACGGGCAACTAGTAGTCTCCAGATGTAAGTCCTTTCTCCTTTGGTTTGGCAACTGCTAGCCCATGACTTTAACTAGTACCCCAGGGGTGAATGCAAATCCAGTACAGTGCCTAAGTATTGAGGAGGGACTGGCTGTCTGACCTCCACCAATTCAGTCAGGCCATACAACTGGAAACTCAGCCAGCTAAGACTTCTTTGACCTGCCCAAAATTAATGGGCTGTTTCCTGTAAGCCAGGATGGTTTCTATCCTGAGTGGTTCTCAGTGGCCACACACTGAAAGTTTTGAAAAAGACTGGATAGGGTCTGGAAGTGAGAAAGACTGATGGACAGGCAGGCCTTCTAAATCTGGACTGGAGCCCGGAGCCAGATAAAAAACTTGCCCTGTTGACCTACTCAGCACATCTTTTCTTTGCATCCAATCTGCTCGTTGTCACTTTTCTACCAGCACTAAAAACACCCCAAATTTGAAGCACACAGAACCTACCAGCCTGCCCCTGCTGGCTGTTTCACAGACCAGCCAGTTCAAGCCCCACTTCAGAAGGATTTTATGTTGTATGATCAATGTCCTAAGAGTTTTCCCTGTGTTCAGGGTTCACATTGTCTGCCATACAGCACATATGGAGAAAACATACTGTTTCCTACTATTAAAACATTATTTACTGAAGTTTAAAAACCCAAAGTATTTCAAAAGAAGCTACCAAAAAGGCACCATACATGTATGTTTGTAACTGATGAACTTCATCTAAGACCAATGCAGGGGAGAAGAAAAAGACATTTTGGAGCAGGATGAAGGAGCAGGAGGACCAGGAGTGGTGATGGTTGTTGGTTCTGGGACAGCAAGTATCAGGTGTCTCAGTTTCCAAATATCACTGAGGAACATCAGCCAACACACCTGAGTTTTGAACTCTGAAGAGATTGCAAACCAGTCTCTTGTTCCAGCTGTCCCAAAATATGATGGTGCAGAGCAGAGAGCCAGCAAGGAGCCACTCAGCTCTGTGAGGAGTCTGGACCTCAGGGGGTATCTGTGTTCTGCTCCTCTCCTGCCACTGAAGGTTTTCCAGAAGCTTCCACCTTGATTGGGTTAGATGGCTCCTATTCACATGTTAAGTCTCCTCTACCCTGATTGGGTATGTCCTTTTGAGAGGGGAAAAAGTAAGGAAATAATGAAAAATAATCATGGTCTAAGTAAATACAGCGCTGGGGAGTCCTGGGGGTACTTTGGTAGTTTCTGTGCTAGGAGGCAAAGGCAGCCTGAGCACCAGCCTCCTTCCTTCAGTTGCTCCTTGCCAAATCAAGGAAACATTTGAAGACAGGTGGTGAGGTGGAATGAGACGTTTCCTCAGGCATCTGTGGCTACGTTATCAGTGGTTACAGAATACATAAGAAGGTACATGGAATTAAGCCCTGCTTCAGCCAGTGGAAATCCTCTTTTATTTCAAGTGGCAAAGGGCCATGTTTTCATGCTTCCAGGGCTGATCATGCACTGGTGTGTGTGCAAACACACTTTTTGCTGGCAAAGCTAACAAGCTAAACACAGAGAGAGAGAGAATATATATATGTATTCATGTATATATACAATGTGTGCTCACATATAAATATGTGTATGTAAGGAGGCATAATTGATATAGTATATACAAGGTTACTGCTGGGGAAATGTGCTTTTTACTGTACTTTCAAATTGCATTCAAAACAGCAATGGAGCAGAGCCTCTCCATTATACTGAATCTAGAATCAGCTTTGCTTCTTTTCCATCCTTTCTCCCTGTAACACCACCCAGAAAGGCTGGTTGTTTTGAATGCCCTGCCTTGCAGCATCTGCAGGCCTGAGATTTGAGACTTTTGACATGTGGGGAGCAGCAAAATTGTTGTTATATTGTGTCACAGTTGCCATTTTCATGAATAGCAAAACCCTCTGGTGTCTTAGGAGGCATCACACCACGCTGACCTGCCTTACCTGTGTGTCAGGGTTACGCTGTGCCCTGCTCCTGTGTGGCTGACGGTGAAGCCTCACTGGCAGTCTCTAATCCCACTGCATCCTGCAGTGATTCAGGTGCCAGTGGTGTTTCTTCAGTGTCTGATGTTCTCTGTGTGTCTGTGCTCTCACTGCTTTCCTTTGCTTCAGCTTCAGCTTCTCCCTTCTCCTTGTCCCCCTTTTCCTGTTCACTGTCAGTGCCTTGCTGCTCTTCTCCCTTGGAACCCTCACACACATCCTTGTTTCCAGAGGTAGGCTGGGCAGAGTTCTCCTTCCCTGGGGCATCACGACACACTTCCTCCTCCTTTGTATTCCCTTTGTTACTCTTGCAAGGATTCATTTCCTCTGCCTGTTTATCCCCTTTTTCTTCATCTTCTGACCTGCTGGATCCTCTCCTTAATGGAGGTTTCTCATCAGACCCTGACTCTTCCTTTTGCTCTTTGCTCCCTTTTAATTCATCCTCTGACCTGCTGGATCCTCTCCTTGATGGGGGCTTCTCATCAGACCCTGCCTGTTTCTTTTGCTCTTTGCTCCCTGTTTCTGCCTCCTCTGTCTTGTCATTGGGCCTAAAGACCTCATCTTCCCTGGCACCATTTTCTGGAGAAGAGATGTTGAGCCCTAAATCTTCCCCGTCTCCATACTCGGACAGAGATCTTCGGAACCTCCTGGAGGGTGGCCTGCGCTTGATCGATCCTCGCGTCCGCACCTGGGGGGCAGGAAAAGCAGACATTGGAGCAGTCAAGAGAGCGGGACCGGAAAAGCAGGAAAGCACAACAGAGGAAAACGTGGGAAATTTAATTGATACCCTGGTGGCTTCACTTTTCCTGCTCTGCTAATGAGGTAGAGAGAATAGGGTTCCCTGCTGCTGAAAGACTCTTCTATAGGACAAGCAGCACCCTAATATAAGCCTCCCTTCTGCAAAGATGGTGCCAGAGACCATCCAATTTGAACTGTGACCCCTCATCCAAGTTAGAACCCTAAAACCAAGGATACTGCATTCATTACACAGATGCTGCTGACTTTGGGTGTCTCAGCCTTCTCTTCCTCTTCATCCCCAGGGGATAAGCAAGCAAGAAATCCCAGCACATATCCTACCTTGTTGTAGAACTGCAGCTGGGTGCCTTCCGGGGGCTGATCAAAGCTGACTGGCGTCTCACTCGCCTCGCTGGGCTGGGTCTGAGTCCCTGGGCTGGTGGGTGTCGACGGAGGTGTGCTGAATGGAGAAACCAGGGCTTTCAGACCAGGGCTTTTGGGAGACACTCCCGGCAGCAGAGCAGCTGGAGAAAAAGCCAGATTGGCCTGCAAAGAAAAGTCCCCGTCAGGAGAGTGAATGACAGCGGCGTGTGCTACACACGACAGCCACACAGGGGAACCCTCGCTCTGCCACAGCTCTCAGCTGTCACAGCCCACAGACCTTCTGGTTGTGGGTCTCTCCTGGTGACACTGTCAACAAACAAGTCTGGGCAGAGAAGTTATGACTGGACATTTGTCCTTCCCCGGCAGCTGGAACTCAGGACGTGTTCTTTTGTCATCCTCGGGCCTTTCGGGATTTTCCAGTGATCCAGCCAAGCCAGCACAGTCTACAGTGGCTGAGCTGGGAGCAAATCTGAACAAGCAGCCGGCAACCACTTTTAAACCAGAAGATTTAAACCATCCCTGTGTGTGCCCAATTTTCCAGCCTGATCTTCTGAATGAACTGCACAGTTGTGAGAAGACCACGGAAAGAAGTGAGCTTGCAATTCACTGTGGCAAAACATTTCCTGCTGGGCTCTCTCTCAGCAGCTCTCAAAGGCAAATGTCCTTGGGTGCCTCAGGAGGGACAGTGATATGAATAGGGGTACGTTGTGTCAGCGTGGCTCTGGAGTTGCACATGCTGCCAGGAAGGACAGCTGGCAGGGCCAGGGCACCCTGCCTTCAGGCCATCGGGTGCTGAGCTGCCCTCAGCAGCGTGGATCAGGCATCACAGAGACATACAAAAAGGGCTGGAAGCACCGGGTGTGTTTTTGAGTAACTGGGGGAATCCAGAGGAGGGAAGTGCAGGGGAGAGGCAGAGCCCAGAGCGCACTCCCCACTGCCAGGGTTGTAACTGCCTGTGCTGAAGGCCAGGTCCCTGACAGGGTGCAGGTGACTCAGTCTGAGTTAGACTGCTGCAAAGAAAGAGCTGGAAGAAGTCTCAGTCAGGGTTTCCCTCACTTTCTCTGGAGAGCTGCAGTTAAACTGAGGCTCCAGCCCCGGCTCCCTACTTGAGCAGGGTTGCTGCCATGCCCATGCCCAGCCATGTGCTCCACAGATCCAAATGATCCTGACCCATGCACTGATGTGCTTATGGACACACCCGGGGATCACTGGACTGCTTCTGATGCTTGTTACCATTACCAGACCTGCTCTGCCTTCCTTTTTTATGTATGGTGGGACTGGGTCCTTATGTGTGAGGCCACTGCTCTGTTCACCCAGATGTCACTCTTGGCTCCTGGATCCCCTTCCCCTGTGACTGCTCTGCAAGGGAAGTAGCTGTGACAAATGCCTGTCAGATTTAATTTGCTGAGGAAGCCATGTGGGTTATTCTAGGACCTACCTGCAGCTTTTCAATCATGGGGGAGCTTTTCACCTTGACCTTGGGAAGGGGGCAAGCATTTGGAGACCGCTTCTGCAAAACAAAATGAAACACGAACACTTCACAGTAAAGTAGGTGGAAAAGAGGAAATCTAATAAAGGCAGAAAACTTGGGAGAGATAAGCAGAAAGTGCTAGCCATCCTAGGAGTAGATACATGTTCCCCTCCTCTGGGAGAAAAGGAGATTGTCTGCTGTTTGAAGCATCTGAGCTAGGTGATGTGTAATGGCTCTGCTTCTACATTGCCTTCACTAAGGTATGTAGCCTATGGCATAGTTTCCCCTGGTATTATTCAGGACCAGACAGATTAAAATTCTACCTCTCAAAGCCTTAATGTTGGCAAACATTGTGAACTTTCTGTGAGGGGAAAGACTTTCTGCCACCACTTGACTAACAGAGTTAAAAGATATCCAATTAGTACAGGCAGGAAAGGCCTATGTGGCAGGAAAGGCAGAGCTCTGAAAGGCTGAAAACAGTTTGAGAAAGGGAAAGCACTGCTTTGAGAAGGGGCACATTGCTTTTTTCAGATCCAAAGGAAAAGGAAGGAATCTAAGATTTTAAAGCTTGCTGCTCCTTTGGCATGTGGCTGACATATAAGGACAAAGAGCTACTCCCTTGCTAAGGGCAGGTGACAAAGTGAAATTTGGTGGGTAGACCTCATACCTTAAAGTACAAAGGACAGAAGTGACCAGAAAGGGCCTGAGCACAAAATTTAGTGAGGAGCAGCCAGCTTAGTGGGACCTGCTCATTCCAAGGTGCTGTATGGAGGACGCCTAAAGAAAATATTCTGTGGGTATTGCTGACAAACCCCCTCTTCACTCTGGATTATTCATTCCCTTTTTCTGAAGATGGAAAAATCTCACAAGCAGAACTATTGCACCATTATACTCAAACCTCTAGAGTTCACCTGAAGGCAACACACACCACGGATGCTCCCTGTGCTAAGAACTGTTCAAATCTCACAAATTCCAGTGGTTCCTGAACAGTGGTAACTGGATGGATCCATCAGAGTGCTAAGGGTAAAAATGAAAGCAGTGGAAATGGGATGTGCATCCATGCTACAGGAAACATCATGGAGCTGACTCTGAGTCAGTACATGTGTGTGAGCAGGGGGAGGTTTGATTCTGCATGATTGATGTCTTGTGCTGCACAACCTGACCTCTCTGCAACCTCCAAACCCACGTCTCAGGAGAGAGCAGGTTGCAGAGAGGAAAGGTCTTACCTCCTATTAAATTGATACTCACTTGCTCATCATTGTCACTTGTCTCAGTTTTGTGGGAATACAATGGAAGGGAGCATGGTGGTTTCCTCCGAGTTGGCTTATGTGGTGGCACCTAAGAGAAGAAAACAACCAACTCAGCAGCAGGGAAATCAGGTTTCTTAAAAAGGGAGTGAAACTCAAGCACCAAAGGGCATGCTGTGTCAGTGACCTGTTTGGGTGGCAGGGCTCAGCTTGCCTAAAGGAGTCATCCAAAGGCAGCACCAGGTACTGGCACATGGGCATGTGGCCAGCATGCCAGCTGTGTTTGTAGCACCTAGAGCCCAATCCTGCAGCATCTTGAGCCCAATACTAGTGTTGAAAAAGTAGTCTGTATCTTTTTGCACGGTATGAGCCACAACACTTCAGGCTTTGTGCAAAGGACACTCTTCCAAGCTCTGGAGGGTGGAGAAACCTTCCTAGAAACTTCGTCTTCAAAGCTGGAGACCCCCTCGCACTGGAATAGGTTGTAACTGTTCTCTTTCCTGTCATTACCAGGATTTCCTTTTAAGTCTCAGCTGCCTACCTGGTTCATGATTTCCTGTTTTGCATCTGATAGGTTTTAAGGACAAAAAGGGGAATTCTGACTTTTTTGGAATTTCAATTCCATTTGTTTCTCTTGAATGAAGAAAAGCAGTTCACAGGGATAAGTCCTCAGGTGTAACCTATAATTTGACTAAGAAACAGATTCTCCAGGGGAGAAAGAACAAGACAACTTGGTGGCAGAGATACTGCTTCCTTCTGAATGTCTTCAGGCTCTCAGAAGTACAAGAGAGCTCCCTAGGAAGGAAGAGATGCATAGCACATCACTATTGCTCTGGTCTTGAAGCCAAGCTGTCTCTATTTTTATGCCAGGTTTGTAGTCTCCTGCCAAGCTGTTAACACACTTTTTTATGTGTTAACAGGCAAAATAATTGGATAATATTGCGGACCTTGGATAGTATCCACAATATAATATTTGGATAATTTTGTTGTCTTCTCACAGGCTGGCAATGTGAAAAATTGGATCAGGGTGTCTTTGCCCTCTGTAGAGCTGGTTGTCATGGAGGACCTGTAGATTTGATGTCACTTAACTTCTGGTTGGTGCTGCATCCAGCCATGGCAATGCTGCATCTCTAAGCAGCCAAGAGCAGCCCTGCCCTTATCCTTATAGTAAGGAAGCTTTATGCTAGGAGCCAATAACATGTCTTACTGAAACCCCATCATTTTGCAACCATGAAATGCTGCACTGTGCCACAGTGGATGTGTCAGAGGTTCCCTGGTTGATGGGATCCTCTCTGCTGGCATGGGTCAGGCAAGGGTTAAAGACCATCCACTGAGCCATTAATCTGAATCCAGCTTGAGAGAGCCAGTGGGGAAGTGACAGATGGCTTGGAGAGAAAAGACAGGAAACTTTGTCCTCCTCTGTCTCTGGAGAAAATGAGTTTCCCCCCACAGTGAGGCCCCTCCACACTGCCTTGGCTTGGGAGCAGCAGAGGTCTGCAGATAACACAAGAGAGGTCTGGGAACTTTCTGCCTTCTGTAGGGTGAGGGACTTATTGCAATTGAATCCCATACCTTAAAAAAAAGGAAATTACTGTAATGGGATGGATGCAGTGGTGCACTGGCAACTAGAGGGGAAAAAAATAGTCCTTGGGAAGAGACAGGCTACTCCCGTCCTGGGGCCTGGCTGTGGGAGTGCTAACCTCTGATGTATGCTGGTATGCCAGCCCTGCAGGGCACAGGCAGGAGGGGTGACAGGGAGGGTCCCTTTAGGCCCAACCTGGGATGTGCTGAAATCAGCTGAGCAGCAGAAGGGAGCAGTTCAGTTTTAAAAGAGAAGAGAGCCACCAGTAAAAAGGAGTAAAAAAGAGTCATAATGATACAGGGGGCTCTCCTAAACTGAGAGGGGGCTCTCCATGTCTCTCCCTTCTTCCTAAGAGAGGTATTCTAGTGTTTTGCTTAGCTGGTGAAAGACAGCTTGTGAGGTAACGCTTGGCATAGTGGGCTTTCAACAAATCAGAGTTTCAGCATGATAGAGATAGGCACAGAGTCTGAAATGTCATTGGGAAGAGGCAACGAAGGTGAGTAAAGAGGCAGCTTTCTCTCAGACCAGTACAGAAGGAATAATTGGAGGAAACTTTCTCCTTTTGCAAATAAGGTGCTGATGGCCTGCCACTGGCTTCCTACACTGCATAATCTGTTGTTTGTATTCTTTTCCTGTGGCTCAGTAATAGCTAATTTGTTATTCACTGCTGCTGTCTGCCCACAAAAGCAAGCCTAAATAGTGCATGCATTGCTGTCTGCTCTTCTTGGCTAAATATGTGCATCCTACCAAGCTTTACAGCATCTCAGTTACAGTGTCTGGGTGTCCTGAGGTGCAGCTCTACCAAAACACTCATCCACAAATCGGCAAAGCATAGAAGATACTGCCACATCTTGCATTGCATGAGGAGAGGAATCCTTTTCGAAGATCCAAAGTCAAGGTGGGTTCATGCTCAGGTCACTGATCCTCCAACAGGCAGAGGTGAGGGCCTGATTTCCCACGCGATTTCCTACCGGTGGCTGCAGAGTTCCTTACCTCTTTTCCAGTGATATTGGCTGCTTGCTCCTTGAATTTCCCTGCTAGCTGAGCCACTGAGGGTGATGCTGACTTGTCCACCTCTGAGTTGGTCTCTGCTGGCCTGTTCTGACAAACCAGGAACAACACATTATGAGCAAAGTCTGGGAAAGGCAAGCCTGTGTATGTGTTATAAAGTTCAAGAGTAAGCACAGACTTGAAGCAGAGTTCCTCACATCTGGCATCAATCATCTAGCCTGTGAGCAAGAGGTTTGGGATGACAGGATCTAGCAGCATTTTCAAATATTCCAGAAAAGCAGATATTCATGCAAAGCTTTTCAGCTCTTGCTGAAGAGCCTACACTCAGTACTTTCCAATGGAAGAAAACTGGGCATTTCAAGTCAAGTGTCTGTTCCCCATCTTATCCTTGCAGTGAGCAGATGGAGCAGGGCAATAAAGTACATTCCCATGCACCTCTTCAGCTCTCCCATACCTTTTTCACTGCCTTGGTCACCATCCTTCCTTTTCCAGCACTTCTGCTACGAGAAGCCATTCCCAGTCCTTGCAGCAAGCCAACATCTGCTTGGGGATGTGACCCTGTGTTGTTCTGCTCTTTTGGCAATGAAATACTCAGGCGGGTGGGGGGGAGGGAGGAAATACCACGGCTGAGAGAAGCTTCCCCTCCCCTGGGTCGACAACAGGCTGAGAAGCAGGAGGCTTGTGTTGGAGTGTGGATGATGCAGCTCTTCCCACAACACACTGCCCCGGTGTCATCCCACATTTACCTTGTTTTCTTTGCTATGTGTGTATTGAGCAACGTGAGTAGAAAGCCTTGAAATCAGAGTTGATGAAAGGAAACCTTTGTTCTTCATCTCTGGTGTCTGATGCCAGGGAAAACCAAACCAGAGGAACTGAGAATAAGTAACCAACAATCCTTGTTTTGTTAGAGGCGGAGACCTCAGAAGAAGAAACCAGGCTTGTGAACCATCTGTAAGAAACCTCACACCTCCGCTCCCTGTACCACCACCATCAGTGTGGTGTGTGACCAGCACCACACCTCTCACCCCACTGCCTCAATACTCAGCCAGAAAGTTTCCCCAAAGGTCATTGCTAGAAGAATATATTTCTGTTTCTCCAAAGACTCCAGCAGAGCTCTCCTCTCTCCCTTCACGCCTGGGAGGGACCTGCTGCTTTATGAACACGACTGCTCCTTCACCGCTCCTGGAGGTGAAAGGCCCTTGAAACACCAACCTGGCCTATGTGTGGATCATTCCCTCTGGGTAACTGTGCCACAGGGACTAAAGAAATGGCTGTGGAAACTTGATATCATGTTAAGGAAGGGATTTTTTTAGACTCCTAGTTTCTAGACTAAAAGCAAATCGAGGTGCTTACGTTAAGGATCATCTCATAATCTGCAGCTTGGAGGAGTCTCTAGTCTGAAATGCCTGGTACAGACCAGTGTGGCTGAGGCCTGTTTGCATCTTGGAAAAGGACCTTTCCTTTTCTCAGAGAGCTGTAAATAAATGCTCCCAATAAATGCTATCTTCTTTTCCCCAGGCCCAAAAGCCCCTGTAGATGTCTGCCATTCCCTGTATCCAGGATCCTGACTACATCTTCACTTTTAAGCTTCCCATGCACTTTGGACTAGCTTTCCTGCATTTAGGAAAGCCATATCAAGCTGCTTCCTCTCAGTGACCTTCATGCACCTTCTCCTCATCTTTTCACCTTCCATTAGAGTAACTACAGACAGGGAAAGTGGCAGATAAGGGGAATGGAAAAAAACAGCGAGGGAGGCAGATCAGCAACCTGCCGCACATGAAAAGTGATGGCTGGGCTAAGTGGGGAGGAAGACCAGTTCCCAGCTGCAGACTTCTTCCCTGCTCTGAAGGGAGAGCAGGCTGGAAAGGGGAGGGAGCAAAGAATGAACCTGGAGAAGGCAAGATGGTTTGGGAGGCTTGGCTCTCAGCATACCAGCTCCCAGGGTATGTGGGAATGGCAGAACAGACACCTGACGTGAGGATTCTGCTGAAACTGAGGAGCTTCAGGTGTCCAGTGTTTGTGGTGGAAGGGTTGCCTCCCTCACAGGCCCTTTTGCTCCAAAAGCTTCTCTCACAGCCCTTTGTCTTTACCCAGAAAAGACACTGTGCTTCCTCTTGGCCTTGGCCCGTTTGACCTCTTGTTTTCGGGGTGATCGTGTTTTTTCTTTCTTTCTTTTTTTTTTTTTTTGAATTTACAGTCTGAAAACACAGCTCTCTTTCTTTGATCAGAGCCGTGAGGTTAGAAGGGTCCCACGTGTTTCTTGTTTTGCTGGTGGCAGGCACTGATTGCAAGGCAGCTCTGGCCGGGCAGGGTGCAGGAAGCAGCGAACATGCCATTCTAAGATTAGCACCAGTAGCCCACAGGCTGTGTCCTCCCGAAATTGCCAGCTGCAGACTCTCTGATCATGCTTTGCAACAGGAAAAGTCCTTTCTCAGATCCTTTCTGGCAATTACACTGGTGTCCTGTATTCAGCTTTTTCTGCATTTCCCCCGCCCCCTCCAGATGGTGTGCCAGGCTCTGCATCTTCTAGTCAGGGGAAAGTGCAGAACCGGGGCACTCGGGTGCAAAAAGTTCCACTCCTTGCACTGCAAAGAGAACACCATTCCCCTGACTTCCAGGAGCTGGACTGTCAGTCTTCCTCTCCTCCTTCCCACCACTGTGGGTGAAGTGGGAAGCCTCACTTTACAACTCTCACCCCAGAGCCTGTACCAGCCTCTTCCACAACCAAGACATGCATCTGCTTCTCTCACCTAGGAGCTCAGTGCTGGCTCCCTCCTGCCCCTTCCTCTCCCATTCCTGGTCACATTTCACATTTTGGTCATATAACCCAACACTTTTCTGAATGGTGCTCCTTTTTTTTAAAAAAACACTTTTTGCAGCCAACTGCTGATTCTTTTCCTTTTCAGAACAGAATCACAATCAGCCTGCATGGGCTAAAAGCAGTGAGCTAATGTAAAAGGCTTCGCCCATCAGTAATTTGATAACTGCTACTCTGAGGTTTTTACTGTTCCATAAAAATAGGTGTCCAAGAATTCTATGTTCTGAAAAATGTCAGACAGAGCCATAAACAGCAATTGAATTATACCATCAATGTAAGCATGGCACTGTCTGCAAAAGAGGAAGTGCAACTACCAAGTTCTCGGTAAAGGGTTTGTTTCACTTTCCTCTTCCAAACAAGTTTATAAAATTGAGTAAATGTGAAAATAGTTTTCGACATCGTGTTTCTTTTTAGCAGCACTGTAGAAGAAAGCTCTGCCTTTGTGGTTTAGGTACAAATGTGCCAATTCAAGCCTCCCACCAAACCTCTCCTTCCTTGTGCCTCGGAGTCTTTGCCTCTGTGGTGAGAGCAAAACTGCCCACCAACCCCTGATTCTGCAGCTTGCCTGAAGGGGACCACTGTATTTAGCACAGATCCCTGCTCCTCTCACAGGCTGCCTGCTGGAAACACTGCTAGAAATGTCCCACGCCATCCCTGCTGTATCTTTTCAAGGCAGCTGAGAAGATCTCTGAGCAGAGACTCCTTGAAGCTGTGACTCACACAATCCCAGCTTCACTGGTAATTTGATGTGCCAGAAGATGACTAGTAAGGCTGCCTGATGTGGGAGCAGTAATGTCTCACAGAGGGGACCCCTCACTACAGCAGTGTCATTACCTGGCTCTGTGACATTTCCCAATTCTCCTGCTACAGCCCATGGACCCACTGTGGGCACCAGGTGAGAGAAGGGTGCGTGTTAGAGGCCCACACAAGAGACCTGTGCATACTGTTTGGGTACTCACAAAGAGCTTTTCTTAAAGGCGATGGATCTGAGTGTCACTACAGGCAATGAGTTTCTTACGAAATCAAAATCACAGAGAATTTCCACTCCTGTGGAAAACTGGAAAAGCCTGAGGTAGCTTTTGGTGTGAATTTGAAAGTTCTGCTGGGATTGATTGGTGCACAACGGGGTCCAACAGCCCTCAGCTAGCAGTTTTGGTCATGACCCACCCCACTGCAATTGAAGGCTGTCATGATGCCATCCCATGGGATTGGTATCCCACCAATTTACTCATTGTCCATGATACTGGAAATGCAAGTCTGAAAGGATCAGAAGCAGATACTGAAGGACTTGTGTACCTGGTTTGACTGATGAAAAGAGCAACCTTCTGCTAGGTGTCATACAGTGGAGTGTTTTGCCTTAAGCAGCACTTAAATACCAGCTGAATAGCAGCAGAGCTCTGTGCTTCCCTACCCTCCTTCCCTCCCGTATGAATCCTCTGATTTGGCTGCTTTTGTGGGTAGGATAGTTTGGCCAGATGGAGCACCTTTTCTCTGAGATGCAAGAGCTCCACACCACCTTGCAAGGCTGGAGTATTCAGCGGCTGTGAAATCAGTGATGGTTACGGGTCCTGTGCAATTGCCACCCCCATTCCCGTGCAGCTGCATCTAGACTTGGTTTGAGGCCAGTCCCTGACCTCCACATCCCTCCTTTGTTTCCAAAGAGCTTTGCAGGAATGATTCCCTGCAGCCTGTCCATCCCGCCAGCCGCCTTCCTGCACCCTGTGCTCCCACAAGGTCTGTAAAGCTCCACTGTGACTCTCACAGGGGCTTTTCACTGCTGCACACACAACCCACCTCAGCAAAAGCAAATAGGGCAAAAGGAATGACAAACATAATGTCTTAGAGGCAGATACAAGAAGGCACTCGAGGCTCAGGGCTAATGTCTTCATTACAGAAGCAGGGTCCAGAAATAGTGATATTCAGCACCCAGCTCTCAACACTGCACCACGAGAAGGCAGTTGTCAGATTGATAGAAGAAAATAAGAGGTGGCCAGTGCTTTTGGGGTGCAGTTTCATAAGGTCTTGGTTTCAGCAGAGAGAAAGTGTATGTTTCCAGCTGCTCATTCTCCCCTGACCTTTCCTTTCCCCCTTCCCCTCCTCCCTTGCACCAGCGTGAGTTGGTGGGGCTGTGCTGTGAACTGGATCACTGAAACGATCTGGGCTAAAAATACATCCCTTAACTCTTTACAAGGTTATTTTTAACCCAGATCATTCCAGCAATGGAGTTCACAGCACAGCCCTGCAGTGCTGTAGTGGGAGGGGATGGTGGGGT